AGTCCCCTCCAGAGATGGAGCACGCAGAGCAGAATATCCACCATCAAGAGCAAAGTCCATTGCTTGTTTGCCCTCGCACTCAGGTGGTGGGGGTATGTCTACAGCTGCCAAGGGATTTGTCCAACCACCCCCTGAGGTGTGAACATGCTTGCTCACTCTGGGCATGGTGAAAAAATGTGAAAAATGTGTGTGTGTGTGTGTCAAGTCCTGTTCCTAAGGACCTCTCACACCACGACACATTAACTAATCACTAACTACTAGTAGCTACTGTCATTTTGAACAACCGCTGTACAGCTCTGCAGGGCAGTGGACCACTATCACTCACTGCCCAACGAAGACAGTAATAGTTTGGGCATGACATCCAGAAGGGACGCCTTCCGGACGTACCTGCATCGATCATGTGATGTAAACCATATGATTGTTGCTGACTGTTCACCTTTCTGTTCCTCGCAGGGCCGTTGCCAGGTCAAGGTTTCAGCGCTCTGGTCGGGTATTGTGGTAACTAGACGTAAAGTGCTAGCTTCACGGGAAAGTCATAACTGACACAGCTCTTGCGAGCATGGATCTAAGTGTGAGCCGCAGCATCGTCCCACTGCGGCTTGCTGTGTGATCCCACCTTTGGGCCGCGCGTTTAGCACAGACCCTCAAGGGTGCTATTCTACTGACTCTTCCGATCTGCCTGATACTCGCTGGCTTCTCGTTTTTGCTCGAGATTGCAGCTCGTTTGCCGCAGGGCCCACTGACAATACATCAGAATGACATGCCATGCCGCTAGGTATTCACCTTGATGTCTCGCGGCAACTTTCCAAGCCTGAATTCGTCACATCTCCTTACCCGACCACCAGATGCGTTACCGGCTTCGTGCCACTGCTTGATGCTAGCAGCTAGCACCCGCCGTTCCTCTCATTGCAGATCTCCGCTCAGCCATGCAGTTTCCGTGGCGTTGCTCGATGCCACCTACGACTCCACCACCACCACCACCACCAACAACAACAACAACAATGCCAGCGCACTACATCCACCATCCACTAACCGCTCCATTGGTCTATCCGTACCCACCTCAGTCTTTACCTCATCCAGCACATCCACACACCATGGTTCACCTCCCAGTCCACATCCCAGTCTTACGCGCCAACCCGGCAGCCACCTCCATTCCACCCCGCAGTGGCCCACTCAGCACAGTTGTGCAGGGGGGCAGTGGACCACTATCACTCACTGCCCAGCGAAGACAGTAATAGTTTGGGCGTGACATCCAGAAGGGACGCCTTCCGGACGTACCTGCATCGATCATGTGATGTAAACCATATGATTGTTGCTGACTGTTCACCTTTCTGTTCCTCGCAGGGCCGTTGCCAGGTCAAGGTTTCAGCGCTCTGGTCGGGTATTGTGGTAACTAGACGTAAAGTGCTAGCTTCACGGGAAGTCATGACTGACACAGCTCTTGCGAGCATGGATCTAAGTGTGCAACGATGAAGTTATTTGATGATGTTTCAGTACACTCAAGAAAAGGCCCCTTACTCCAAAGAATAAAGACATTCCAGAATTGTGGCCGGGGGGTATAAGTTGTTGCACTTGCAGGTGGCACGTGACATCAAAGCCTACGAAGACGTCCAAAACCTTCGGGAGGCCACCATGGTTGCTTTGGCCAAGTTCTAAATCTAAGGCTTCAAGGGAGAACAGACGAATCATGCAACATGATGCAACCAAATATTTGTGAGACTGCGTAAGCGTGTTTCGCAGGAGTCTTCAGATGACGAAGAGTATCGGCAGAGAAAGCTAGCACAAGCTGCTTTAGTGCAGGAGGAGAGACACCATCCGCCATCCGACACTTCAACTTGGAAGCAACAGAACTAGAACCTAACACTAGCTAGGGCGCCAGAAGGCAAGCATCAGCGCCCATGAGAATGAAAGTGTGCAGCCTTCTGTAGTTTTTTCATGGAGTTTCCACTTGTTTTACCATGGCGGATGAGACCAACACCTCTTGTCAGCATCCGCCCGACCAGGAAGCGGATGAGCTCCGATTCATCGCAGAGGCCATATTATGGCTTGCATTGTGTAGCTTTGGAATTGTTTACGAATTGGTTGGCTAAGCTACAGGCCCTACAGTCCTACAGGTTAGAGGACTTGAAAGGTGCGGCATAGCTTGGCTTTGGACTGTGACTGATTGCTTCAAGAGGCAACCTCCAGGAGACAAACTCATGGACACTGGTACGTGCATTTTGATAAACCAAATCAAACTGAAACGCACGGATGGCCATGACGGAGGTAAAACTGTAGCCAACTCGTGCTTGTGGATTCAGGGCCGTTCAGCACAATGAGCTTGTGAGGCCGATGTGAAGTCAAACATCCTTGCTGCCAAACTGCAAGTGGCCCGGCTTGAGACCCTCGAGGTGCCACCCAGCAGTTCAGGTGTGTTTGGATAGCACTTAGCTGGCACTGCTTTGAAGAATGGATGCACATTTGGTTTTGGGTTTGTAATTGCAATGTATGGTAGTGGCATGAGCAGTTTTGTTGAACACACACCTGCCAGGCGCTTGTGCCCAGCCAGCGAGAGGCATGTCGTGCCTGGATGGCTCAGGAGTGGAAGGTTTAGAGATCTTTAAAAAGTTTGGCAAAACCAAAAAAATAGGTTCGACTAGGAACATGATACTGATACTGTATAACAAATGGCAATATCAAGGAGGTGTTTATTCGATCAATGGAGAGCCTTTTGCAGGCACAAGCTGAAACCAGACGGGCAGAAGGAAAGAAGCTCTTTCGATTCAGGTCAAGCAGAAGCACACCCTGGAAGAGATGCAGAGTTCCAAGGCGGAAGGAATCATCATTTAATGGTGGAAGAAGGGCCAAAGAATCGCGACTTCTTAGAGACCGATAAGTCCAGAGCTTGAAAGCACCCGAAAGCACGATATACATAAGGAGAGCTGGTTGTTCATAGTTGTTCGATTGTGACATCCAGTTAAGTGGCCACCGAGGCAAAAGTTTGTGATTTCCCTGGCTGAAAGACATGTTGGAGAAATGGTGTGTGGAGCTCAACCTGCAGGCATACTCAGATGACGGGGGTGTTTTCCTTTTTCTATTCCATGTTTTTCCTTGTTCCTTTTACCTTGGACCTTGCACATGTCGACACTTGTCACGCATCAAGCCATGGTTGGCTGGCGCTTGAAGAAAGTCCAATGAACAGTTGCAAAAGTGACTCTTGTGAGATTTGTTCGATTGTGCAGAGCGGTCAACCGGTCACACGTGAGCACAAAACGAGAAGTGTACCTTTTACTGGACCTTTAGGCCCAAGCCGAAAACAAGCGTTGTGCTTCGCATGGTAGCGGAGCGTGGCCGTATAGAGCCCGCTCTGCTACCCACGCCATTTGCACCACGAGCACCACGACCACGACTCGCAGGAGACGAGCAGCTGGCGGCGCGCAGCCGATTTCGTTTTGGTTGGTTGAGCTCCTTCTACTGAGCTGCATAGCTGGAGGGGCTGGTGATTCGTGGACGCAAGAAGTCTGTCACTATCAGCCACCTCAGGTCATTGCTCAGCAGCGGAACTGGAAAGTAAGACGCGTGCACAGCATCGAGGTGGACACAGACGAGTGCGTGGGTAAGTTGCAGTGGGCCAGAAGCACCAGCGCGGTGAAGGCATCACTGCTGGTGCGCAACAAAGTCAAGAAGAAAGGAAAGGGATCCAGGGAGAGAAAGCAGCTGGTGGTCATCGTCCCGGCTAAGTGGAAGCTATTGAAGAAAGTTGAGGACCTGCGAGACAAAGCGGACAAGGACGCAATCAGTGACCTGGTGACAAACTGGGACTTCAGGAAGCTGCTGACTTACACCAACCCAGAGGTCAACGAGGAGCGGCAGGACAGTGAGCCCCACGCGACAACGGAGATCTATTACCCCAAGGTGGCATACATCCACACCATGGCGGAAGAGAGTTTGAAGATGATCTCAACGGCCCTGGAAAAGCTGACGGTAACCCAAAGCTCGAGTTCCTGGGCCAGACACCTGAAAACTCCAGACTTGTTCAAGCCCGACACCCGTGACAACGAGTTGAGGCAATGGAGTGACTGGAAGTTTTCATTCGAGAACTATGTGAAAGGCATTGATGCGCCGATGGCCTACAGCATGAAGCTCGTGGAGGAGAACCTCAATGGGAACTATGAGCTGGATGAAATGACAGATGAAACGAAAGCTCAAGCCATTCGCCTCTACAGCCTCCTGATCTCCTACCTCCGCAACCGACCTTTGAAGTTGGTGAGGCATATGAAGCAGGAAAACGGCTTCGAGGCATGGCAAAGACTCCTACGAGAGATGCAACCGGTGACAAGGGCCAGATCCCTTGCACTCCTGACACAGCTGTCACGAGTTCAATTTGCTGAGGGCAAGTCGATCTCTGAGCAATTGCCCGTGTATGAGTCCATCGTGACCGAGTATGAGAGGATCTCCGGGCATACATATGGTGATGACAATAAGGTGGCATCGATCTTGCAGGCCGTCCCAGCTCATTTGAGGTCGCATCTCCAGCTCTGGATCACAGATAGCACGACCTATGAACAGTTGAAGAACAAAGTCATGGAGTTGGAGGCGCTGGCAACCAAGTGGGACAGTTCGAATTCTTTGAGCCTTCCCACAAGAATGCCCTTAGATGAAGCAGTGCCCATGGAAGTGGACAACATCCAGAAGGGCAAGAAGGGAGGAAAGAGCAAGTCCAAGGATGGAAAGTGCAGCGGAGGTAGCTGCACTGGTAGCGTAGCGGGCGAACAAAGGAGGTGGTGGTGTCAATCACGAACGAACCCTCCCAACCAAGGATCACACAGATCCGAAGCACCTTTTCTTCCAAGTGCTCTCGAAGGCCTCCTAGGCCTGTGTAGCCACCATGGCCGGATTCCGACCAGCGATCCGAGGATCAAAAGGGGGCCCCCTGGTTTGGGCCACACACAAACGGAGAAAACATGGTGGCACCTGAAACATGTCCCAAAGCTGCACCAGGACAAAAGGAAGTCAGGTGATCACCATGTGCCACTCAGAAGCTTGTGACCAGGTAGGTCTCTGGCGATGATTGCAAGCTCCATGAACTTGCCCTGCATGGACTCGCAGAAGTCGTGGTGTCCTTCATCACCAAGCGAGTCATCCATGTGGGCCACCGCGGACTTGCCAGCTTTCTTGTTCTTCTTGGCGGCCACGAAGTTGTGGTCAAATGCCACTGACCATCGCCAAATGGTCATGAACTTTTCCAAGCTGACACGACTGTCCGGCCGCTTCTTTGTTAGGCCGTCGGCCAAGTCATAATCAGATGCCACCCATCTCAGTTCACAGCCAACACGGTCCAAGTTGTCTCTCAATTGAAATGCCTGTAGGGCGGACCGAAAGTTGGACAAACCCAACAATGGGGATTCGTTGACCTCTATTGCGTCGAACCCTCCTCTCGAATCCGTACACAGGATTCCGCGCACCTCCAACACTTGCTTCTCCACGGCCTGCACCAGACCAGTGCGATCGAGTTGAGGTCGTCGACCGCCGGTGTGAAGGTCTGTCCACAGCACCCTCACCCTGAAATTCTGGTCTTCTGCCTCGAGGATGCTCTGAACCTCAGCATCGTTTGATCCGATGCTTTTCCGTCTCAACTTCCAGCTCCTCCAACTCAACAAGCACATAGGAGTGACCTGGCCTGAGAGGCAAGCGGGCCCTGCGGCCATCGTCAGCATCCCTCCTGTGCTGTCACCCTTCGGCCTGTTCGCATGGGCTTGGTCGCCCATGGAGATGAAGACGATGTCATTCCATTTCTTGGCACCGTCCAAGGGGAAGAAGCGCAAGTGAGATGGTTGACGTCGGACTTCTCCAACCATAGATTGGATTTCTCGCTTCAGACAAGGTGCCATTCACCGTGACTTCAGTGAGGAGGATGTTGCAGCGAGAGCAGAGTAGAGGTTGGGTCTGTATGGCAAGCCATTGAAGACCTCCGAGGGTTGTGCGGCAGGCAGCCACTTCTCGAGGTGTGAGCTTCCCTTCCTGCCGAAGTCTTTCAGCAGGGATGTCCAGATCTGGCAAGGCCTCCACATAGGCATCTTGATGCACTGTTACCATGAACTTGCCGTCCTTATAGGGCTTGGTGCGAACATCAGTGCCTGCATGCCTGTAGTCACGACGGCGAGCAGTGCCCCACTTGTAGGCGGCATCGATGCGAGCGCATATGTCTCGCCACTCCTGAGAGGTGTTGTCGCCAATGCGGTTGAAGTCGTCGACTTGGCCTCCCATGCATCCCAGCAACTTGGGATATCTGCCAGTGACATCCGTCTCGGTGGTCGAAAACCATGCCCACATTGAGCGCTCTCCAAGGACAGCTTGTCCACCTAGCTTGACCAGGGTGCGATGAAGATCAAGCCAAAGTCCACGTGGAGCGGTGGTGCTGCCATAGATGTTCCGGAGCACCTTGAGGATGCCTTCTTGGCCCACTCCCAGGGCCTCACGAAGCTCAGCAACGCCTGTAGTCCAGAGATTGGCGTCCGCCTCGGTGGGTTGAGTTTGCAAGAAAGCTGTTGCCAAATCCAGCCCTTCCAGTTCCCACTGATGGTGGCTTGCAAGCAGGTAGATGATGTTGCGACCAATCATGGACGTGACAGGTGCAGATGTCTTGAAGGAGCGATCGAGAAGACTGGGATGTTGGAAGCCCAACAAAACGATCCTGGCCTTGGCTTTTCGCGTGGCATCTGGCGTCACGGTCGTGTTGGGGTTGTTGGCCAAGTCATCCAAGGCTTCTTGACGTTCTTCCTCCGGGATGGCTTTCCAGACAAGGATCCATCTGGCTTTCAGGATGCGGTTGCTGTCATAGGCCTGCTTGATCTCCTCCGAGGAGAGACATTTCCTCACTGCCTCGTTCTTGATGAAACTGGAGACTTCTTTGTTCTTGGCGTGACACTGTCCGGCCAGGGTGACATGCATTTGCCACACATGGAGTGGAAGGGAACGTCCCCTGCAGGCCGGTGGAGGCCTCTATGCTCAGTCAGGCCGGACTTGTCTGAGGCCTTCTGATATTTCTGCAGTGTCCAAACCCTCTCCTGCATGGCCAAGGCCCGCAGGGGGATGTACTGCTCAATGATGCGAGTGACCACTGGCGTTGTGAGGGGGTAGCCCGTGAACTGGTCAAAGAGCTGGACCATCTCCTTCTCCGTGCACGAGGTGAGGAGCCCCGCCAAGTGGCCCGGGATGGCCGGAAAGCGTCCGGGAACATGGCGAGGTTCGTCGTTGCAAGGCCGGAGTCAACTTGGATATGTTGACCTCAGAGGAGTTCATCTTCTTGATCATGTAGGCCACAGGGTTTCTCTCGAGGAACTTGCGTTGACGATGGGACGTGGCCTCCACCTCAAAGGTGACAGTCAGGATGTCCTCATTCTCCCTCACGAGCTGGTTCAAGCTGAAGGCTTGTTCCTCAAGAGCTGCATCGACTTGCAGCTTTTCCACCCATGAGAGATGTAGGAGATCATCTTCTTCACCACGAGCTCTCTTGGATGCCGGTTCTGGAGCAGTATCTGGCTCGGTGGGTTCATATTCGTTGACGGACACCTCATCCTCTCCAAATCCAGGAGTGTGCTGATCATCTCCTGCGCCAAGTCCAGACGCTGCAGGTCCAGGAAGTCCAGAGTCAAGACCTGCTGAAGAGCTGGGCCTCGAGTCCAAAGGCCGATCAAACCCAAGAGGTACGATGCTCTTCTTTTCAAGTCCAAGCGGAGATGATCGATGAACCACTCGATAATCTTCAGGTGCCAACGTTGACTTGGTGGTCTGACGTCTGATGGGAGCATATGTGGTGGAATCAGGATGCCATGGAAGATTGGGATGTTCCGGCTCATTTTCGGCAGGAATCTCATCAGTGAGGTCCTGGTACTCTTTCTTTGGCATGATGTCGGCCAGAGTCTTCCATTGGCTGATGTCTTCCTTGGATGTCACCTCCCAGCGAAGACGTTCTGGTTCAGTGACTGGACGAACACTCAGAGCAGAGCAGCGGAAGAGTTTGCCCTGCATGAGAACCCAAACCACATGCTTCCGGTGATCTTGAGGATCTTGATGTGGTAGTGCCTCAGAGAAGATGACACGACCAGGACCGATCCATCCGGGTCGTTGACTTTTCCTCCGACCACCACGTGGTCCTTCAAGTTCAGGATGAACTCGTCGCCAGATCTTCACAAGATCGGTGCACTTGTAGTCTCGGAGAGGTTGCCGTGCCTTGGAATTGGAGAGCCTCATCAAGATGCGTCCAGCTCGATGTTTGCGAGCCACTTGCTCAGCCTGATGTCGGGCTGACACCAGTTTTGAGTATGACAGTTTGTCCTTGATCTGGTTGAAGATCATGTAGTCTTCATCCAACAGGCTGTGGTCCTTGCCGAACGCCCATTGATGAGAAGTGTAGCCGGATACATATTCAGTGGAGTTCAGGGCAGAAGCAGCCAGCACCAAAGTGACCATTGGGTCCTGATCCATGGCCTCCAGCTGGATTGCAGATGCTGTGTGTTTCAGATCTTTGATGGCATGCTCAACTACACCATGACTCCAGGCCTCTTTCTCGGCTGGAAAGTTGACGACAATGCCATTGTCTTGGCAGAACTTGGTGAACTCTTCGGACCCAAATGCCCTGCCATTGTCTGGAATGAGCTGCAGAGGCTTGGGATAGTGAGCCAACCACCCCTCGCAGAAGGCCTTGATGATCTGTTGGGCAGTCTCGGTCTTCATGACGAGGAGCTAAAGGGAGGCATCACCGGTACGCCGGAGGCACGGTGTTCGATTGTGCAGAGCGGTCAACCGGTCACACGTGAGCACAAAACGAGAAGTGTACCTTTTACTGGACCTTTAGGCCCAAGCCGAAAACAAGCGTTGTGCTTCGCAAGATTTGATAACGGATCTCGTGTCCCGGAGAAGGGCAAAAGAAGTTTTGAAAAAGATTTCAATACAGCAGGGGCTTACTCGTCAGCTTCTGGCCGAGGGTGCGCGGACGTACTGGAGCCCAGTTTACATAATCGTTTGATTTTTGTGCTCGTCATTACTCGTCATTCGTCATTGGAGAAAACTGAAGGCAGTTGAATCAAACCATATCAAGCAGTAAAGCGAAAGAACTAACAAGCATTTGTGTAAGTGTTGGACTTACAATTCACCTTGCCAGGGATGCGTGCCCAGGCATTGTTCGTGGGCTCCACTCCTCACTGCAATCCACCCTGGAGCTGCAGGATGGGCCGTTTTGAGAGTTCCAAAGAGTGGACTCTGGGACCATCCTGTGAAAGCTGCGCCAAAACTGCGTCCCTTGTTGCCAGGAGCCCCTAGTAGCGTCCAGAGGGATTCCTTGTCAATATGTGAAAATCAAGTTATTTGTGCCAGGATGTCGTGTCCAAGGTCAATGTGACCACCACGAAGCATCGAACCTAGGGTTTCTCTTCAGAGTTCTCGATAGACTTGGATCCATGTGGTGGACTGAGGGCTTGCCAGAATTGTTCGTGTTCAAGCACTTTGACTCTAGTTTCACAGAGTTTGCGCAATCTTCTAGAGTCAAATATTCTAACAAGCGACACCAGTGTCAACTCCTAGGTCTGATTCAGAAGGTGTCTTCAAGCTCTCTACAGCCGTCAGCCCGCAGAAAGGCTGTCAAGTCCAAGAAGGGGAAGTATCATGGTTGAAGTCTTGCACTGCTTGCTTTGGTGAGAGGGATGGAGAGGAGCTCAAAGACCAACGTGTCAGTTGAGAAATACAACTTTGTTGGTTGATTTGGGGTGTAGACGCAGTACTCAGTACTGAGTCTACGTGGAGGCTCCGCAAGATTGATGTCTTTGGGATCCTTTTGGTGCAGGTAGCGCTTGTGTGTATATATGATATGCATTTGTTCGCAGGCGGAAGCGACCTACTCTTGGTTAATCGGCATTCTGGCGCTGCCACATTCTACCGAAAAGTTGCAGGTGCGATGCTGCATTTTCTTCGGGCTTTGAACATTTCCACGGTACTATCAAAAGGCCACCTGTTTAAAGGATTCATTAGTATTTTCCTTGCTTTTAGCTGATTGTTTCGACCAACAGCGAAGCTAGGGGCATTGAGTTTCCGCGACTGACAAGTTCTGGAGCAGGTCCCTGAGCGTAGCATAGCGTAGCTACGCTTTGCAGTGCTACGCTTTGCAGGTATTGCATTGTTATCATGCTGTCGTGCATTCTAGCATGCTGCACTTCTGTCATGCTAACTTGATCCAGCTTGCAAACATGATGGTAAGCTAACGCGTGCTTTTTTGCTGACATGCTAACATATTGTACAAAATGCTGTCATGCGGGCGTGCAGAGATGCTTGTCAGACTAGAAACACACAAATCAGATGATGAGTTACGGTTGTTTTTGAATTGAAGGGCACAGACTGACTCAGCCTTGTCTCCAGGGGAAGGCCTCCGGCGATGTCGCCTGGATTTGCTGTGCTTTGGATGGAAAGGGAGCAGAAGGGCAGCCGAGGAGGATGTTGCTAACAAGTCCCAGTGTTTCAGAATGCAGGACAGACACACTGAAGTTTGCAGTTCAAGGGTTTGTTTTGGCGGGGAGCACAACAACTGAGCAGCGATCCAAACTTCCCAAATAACCATTTGAAGAGAGAATATGCAGTCGCAAAAGCATGCCCGAAAGCCTGCGAAAGCTTGGGAGCAGCGCGTGAAAGACAAAACGCAAGCCGTGAAAGCGTTGCGAAAGGAACTTGTGAAAGAAGAGCCTATTAGAATCATTAGAACACGCTACTACTAGGAGCAAGGACGCTACTAGCATTCTCGATAGGTTTTGAACAACGTAGTCTCAACAGCCGTACTCAAGAAGTTGGCACACTCCGAGGCCGATGCATTCCTGGTACTTCGAGGCGGCAAGTGGACATACTGCTACGTAGCTAATACCTTGCGCATCCTTGGACCTGGCTATCAAACTACTGGCAGTGTTTTTGCTGCCTATATGAATTATGTTGCAACCTTGGGTAGACAGAGCCGCAGATCACTTCACCAGGTCTTTCGTTTAGGAATTGTGGTAGTGGTTCATCACATACGCGTCAAAACCATTGGGAAGATACCTCAGTCTCGCAAAGGCAGAGTCCGGATCTACACTCTTCGAGGCATGCCAGAGCTTCGAGATGGCTTTTAATGGCGAGTGTGCAGATTTACTTGCCAAACAAGCCACTTGACCTTCGTGAGGACAAGCAGAGTGGAGTGAGGTACGCGGGGATGGTCAGTCTTACACTGTTGCACACAAAGGTATACATATCACATATCGACTCTATCGAGGCTCAGCTCAAGCAAAGTCGCATTGGCCAATCGATAATCTACCTGATAGTTGAGTTTGGATGCTTCTGGTCGCATCATTGTCTATTAATTTGGATCTGAGTCACATGCCCACCAGACAAAACAAACGGTCGAAGGATCTGAATACACCGGTGACCAGGTTTCGCATTCCGCAGCTCCAGAAAGCTGGGCAGCCCTTCGCAGGGAAGGCATTGCACACACCATTGTGTCAAAAAGAAGACTCAATATCTCTACAAGGTCTCTCACAGTAGCTTGAATAAAATAAATGAGAAATCCCGAAAGAGGAAGGCAGTGCTTTCGTGCATTTCTTGGGGAAACAAGGACGCTTCTAGTAACAAGGGCATCGCTACTAGGAGCAAGGACCCTGACGCTACGAGTAGCTCCTGGCCTTACTACTAGTAACAAGGACGCTACTAGGGGCTCCTGGCATCGCT